GCCCGGGAATCGTGTGGAACGTATAGTACCAGATGTCTTTCATGGCGGCAAGTTCTGCCTTCTCTCGGCGAGTTAGTTGAGGGCTAATAAGACCCAGGATTTCTGCGGACATGAGAAAAACAATAACTGTAAGTGATTTCGATTTAAAGCTTTCGTGACTGCAGGGATTCATCTTCTTGGTTCTTTCGGTAAAGTCACGTAGAAGGGAAATAATAAAAAGACAGCGTCTTTCCGACAGATCTGTTCTTCTCCTGAGGATGGTTGCTTGCGTTGTGGCCGAAACGTCGTGAGAATTGTATTTTATAATGTATTTTTATTATTTTATTATTTCCCTTCTACGTGACTTTACCAAAAGAACCAAGAAGAACTGTACGTGATATTTTATCATCGAAGCGCGTTTTATATAGGACAGCCTCACTCAGTCTCAAGACTCCTTTTCAGGAGGTTCCTGCAGATCTTTTGCAGAATGGGAGCAGTGCTGGTGCTGATATGTGTGATCCTAAGTTGAGGAATTTGTCAGGTAAATATTTCAGGATTGGAATGTTTTGGCCAATACATTGTGTGGTTATTTGTGCACATGTGGGTCCTGAGCGACAATCAAACAGAGGTCAGGGGTGAGGGCACCAACTCCATCATCAACACTCATTCACCCCCCCCCCCCTGTTAATTCAGTGCTCGGTTGGACAGGAATGTCACGGGTACAATTTAATAACCTGATTCACAGTTGTGACGAACTGAAGCATGATACATTTTCATTGTGTGTGTGTGTTGGTAGGAGAGAGAGCTCTGTCATGCTGGGAATTTTCATGCTTGGTTGGAAGACCATACTGTGTCTGATAATGCTGTGTGCAAGGACACTGCACGTCATCACGCAGTGAGTGATTATACTGTGTGAAGATACTGCGCGTGATGATGCTGTGTATGATGAAGATGATAATGAGGCCTGAAGTAGCAATCAGGGCAGCCGCCCTGGTTGCTACTGCAGGTATATTAACAAGAAACCACGAACCCTGCTACTGGTGGGTTATGTGACCGCCCCAAGTAGGTGTTTTGTTGTGAGTCTCACCAGAATGTAATTATGCTCTTCGTCGTCGTAGCCATAGTTATTGGTGCCCCGGGAATCGTTGTGGAACGTATAGTACCAGATGTCTTTCATGGCGGCAAGTTCTGCCTTCTCTCGGCGAGTTAGTTGAGGGCCTAATAAGACCCAGGATTTCTGCGGACATGAGAAAAACAATAACTGTAAGTGATTTCGATTTAAAGCTTTCGTGACTGCAGGGATTCATCTTCTTGGTTCTTTCGGTAAAGTCACGTAGAAGGGAAATAATAAAAAGACAGCGTCTTTCCGACAGATCTGTTCTTCTCCTGAGGATGGTTGCTTGCGTTGTGGCCGAAACGTCGTGAGAATTGTATTTTATAATGTATTTTTATTATTTTATTATTTCCCTTCTACGTGACTTTACCAAAAGAACCAAGAAGAACTGTACGTGATATTTTATCATCGAAGCGCGTTTTATATAGGACAGCCTCACTCAGTCTCAAGACTCCTTTTCAGGAGGTTCCTGCAGATCTTTTGCAGAATGGGAGCAGTGCTGGTGCTGATATGTGTGATCCTAAGTTGAGGAATTTGTCAGGTAAATATTTCAGGATTGGAATGTTTTGGCCAATACATTGTGTGGTTATTTTTGTAGCGATGGGATGAAACTGGGATACCCATATGCCCACACACACACTCACACACACTCTCACTCCCTCACGTTCTTCAGAACTGGGGAAGAATATAGAAACTACACACAGGGAGGTGCTCGAATTCAGGAATCAAACCCAGGACCTTCCTGCTGTGAGACATGAGTGTTGCCGTTATGCTTCCACCCTGCCACGTAAAGTTGTGATGCCATACTGGCCTATGTGGCTATTGATGTGTTTTTGTTGTTACAGTACTGAGGCCAGTGCATAGATAATCATCAGTTTGTAGAAAGTCTGGCAGACTAGGATTGAACAATTATTGTAACCATCATGTGAGAAAAGAGATCAAAGTAAATATGGGAGTTCTAGTTAACTCCAAACTCTAGCTTCCAAAAGAGCGACTGCTAGGCTCTACATTATCACTCTCACTGTATCAGTCATTCAGCTGCTAATCAGCAGAAAAATACATATCCCCCCCCATGCAACATGGCCACCATGATGTTCCTCATGCAACATGGCCACCTTGACATCATCCATGCAACATAGTCGACATGACATCACCCCTGCAACATGGCCACTGTTACGTCTCACATGACTATTATTACCTTTGGGTGATCTTCTCCGGATGGAGGAAGTAACCGCAGTGTCGCAAGACCCGCCATTTCTTCCACCTTCAGCGTTGCTCATCTACACAAAGACAAAGGTTCCCCACATAGGATTCAACAAGGTGTTGAGTTAAGTGCAGTAGGTGAGTACTGAGTAAGCACCGATGATATCTGGGCTCCACATTCAGGAGGGTCCTGCTGATAGTTCAAAGTTAATGTGCAAGTTTATTGATGGGCTATGTGATATATTGGTGTGGCTGAGGACTGCTTTGTTGTTGTTTTTGCTGCCTTTCCCAATATTAAATCTTGACTTAAAGCTTTTGTGACTGCAGGAATTCATAATCTTTGGGTCTTTCCATAAAGTTGCGTAGATAGGTTCAAATTAAAAGAAAAAACGTGACGTTTCGATCACAACACAAGCGATCGTCATCAGGAAGAAAACAGAGGAGGAAAGCTGCTAAAACAGACTTCTTTAAAAGTTCAAAATGGGTGCAAGCCCAAGGGTCATAAACGAAGTGGGCGGGGCTAGTGATGTTAATATGAGAAATTAGCATGTTAATGTAAGATCGGAGAGTGGCCTCCACGGCGAGCACGCTGAGGTGGCTATGTTAATGTGAGAGATTAGCATGTTAATGTAAGATCGCAGAGCCGACGGTACGTGGCTACACCCATTTTAAACCTTTAAAACAGTCTGCTTTGAGCAGCTTTCCCCCTCTGTTTTCCTCCTGATGACGATCGCTTGTGTTATGATTAAAACGTCGTCATTTTTTGTTTATTTATTTTTAATTTGAACCTATCTACGTGACTTTACCGAAAGACCCAAAGAATATGGTTTCCCAATATTGATAAATAAGACTTGTATAATTAATTATTGATTTACAGTTACTGACTTGCTTTCCATTTTTCTACTTTGCACTCCTATTGTTTTATATTGTTTTCTGTTGTAACTTGCTGACCCTCCCATACTGGACATCTGTGAAAACAAGCTTCGTAGGTCATTGGATTCTTACAGTCTAAATAAAGATTTTGATTCTGATGTCAAATCTCAGCATTGGGATGTTTGTCTGATATCAAGATGCCACACCTGGATTTACATTGAGACAGAAAGAGGAACACGTGGATTGGAAGACACACAGGTTAATGGGATCATTCAAAATGTTAAGAAAACTGAGTGGGGCTGGGCCAGGACACGCCACGGCCAGAAGGGATGGTGATGGTTGATTGGTTGATCGTGAAGAATAATAACGAAGTGACAGACAATAACGGAGTGGCAGGAACGCATCTGAGAAAACGTCCGCCATCGAGATGGAGCTATGAAATAGTATCATAGAATGCAGAGCATGCGCTGGCCAGATTACTCCATCGCGAGATTGTGAGAGGTGCCAGTGGCTCGAGGAGGGAGGCCTTCATCCAACAGTGGATAGATAAGAATGCTCTAAATGTTTATACATAGATAGACAGGCAGGTACACAGACAGGATCTCAGAAAGACATTCTGATAGAAACACACACATACACACGGGTAGGCAAGCAGATGCACACCCAGGTAGACAGGTAGGCAACAGGCACATGGATGGAGAGTGGAGAACACACGTTCACCTCATACTTCACCGCGCGAGTCGAGGGACCCACACTTACCTCCATGGCAGTGACTTGCAGAGCAGCGTTGTGTACAGAGCTCACGTCGTTCCTGGCGTCGTCCGGGTCTCTGCGTGGAGAGCGGTGGAGAGCGGGGGAGAGAGGAGAGGGTCACGCAGAGTCGAGGGTGTGTGACGTAACTGGTTCCAATGTCACAACACGAATCAGGTCACAGCACGGACTCACATCATCAACACCGACTCTGATCAGCACGGTTGGCTATGTACTGTGCGAAAGAAGTTCAACATACATACATCACCATAAACCCAGATGAATAACATGGGCTTGCCTCATCAATACGGACTCACATCAACACGAACTCACATCATCAGCACGAACTCACATCATCAGCACGGACTCACACCATCACCACGAATCTACAGAAACAACATGGACTCACATCATGACCATTAACCTACGTAAATATCATGGACTTGTATCATCAATACGGACTCATACACTCAACATGAAACCACATCATCAGCAATAACCCACAATCGGCACGAATCCACGTAACCAACACAGACTCACATCTTCACCATGAACCCACATCATCAACACTGACTCACATTTCGAATTAAAGCTTTCGTGACTGCAGGGATTCGTCTTCTTGGATCTTTCGGTAAAGTCACGTAGAAGGGAAGTAATAAAATAATTAAGAAAATATTTTAGTATACTGATGATACTATGTAGTTTATACTTTCGTTTTTTACGTGGTTGTTTAGTTACTGCAGCTACATACTATTAACATTCCTTCCCTTTATTAATGCTACCCCTATCCCCTCCCTTTGATGCTGCTAATCCTGAATAATGCACGGGCATAATATGACTTTGAAAACCCCCTGCCCACCTCCTACGCATTTCACAAGTAGTACTAATCACATACCTGTATTTCCCATAAATATGCTAAATTCCTCTTGATATAAGGCGCCCTTCCCCCCTTCCAACCCAGCTTAAATATACGCTCCAAGCGTGGTGGTGTTTCATTCAGACGCTGTCTCCCCGACAGACCTGGTCTTCACCTGAGGACGGCTGCTTGCGTTGTGGCCGAAACGTCGTGAGAATTGTATTTTATTATGTTTTATTTTTATTCTTTTATTACTTCCCTTCTACGTGACTTTACCGAAAGAACCAAGACTGACTCACATCTTCACCATGAACCCACATCAACACAGACTGACACCCTCACCGCGAACCCACGACACGGACTCACACCCTCACATAATCCTCACCTCGTCGAGGCTCGCTCCGATGGCTTCAGCTGCTGCACGATGTCGTCTCTCCGCGCCTCTCGATCGCCGCCTTTCGCCCAAACTGCCAGAGGCACGTGGGGGGCGGGGCCAGGAAACCACGCCCTCCGTGACGTAACAGTCCGGAGCTCCTCCCCCTCAGCACCTTCCCCCCCCTATGCCCCCCTCCCTCCACTAACACCTCCACGAAAACAGACCACTACTAACACCACCACTAACAACCCCACCACTACTAACAACAACCCCACCACTAGCACCACCACTAACAACAATCCCACGAACACCACTACTAACAACAACCCCACGACCACTAACAACCCCACCACTAACACACCACCACTAACACACCACCACTAACGTACCACCACTAACACACCACCACCACTAACACACCACCACCACTAACACACCACCACCACTAACACACCACCACTAACGTACCACCACTAACGCACCACCACTAACGCACCACCACTAACGCACCACCACTAACACTCCACCACCACGAACACCCCATCACTAACGTACCACCACTAACACACCACCACCACTAACACACCACTAACACACCACCACTAACAACCCCACCACTAACACCCCACCACTAACGTACCACCACTAACACACCACCACCACGAACACCACCACCACTAACACACCACCACTAACAACCCCACCACTAACACCCCACCACTAACGTACCACCACTAACACACCACCACCACTAACACACCACCACCACTAACACACCACCACCACTAACACACCACCACCACGAACACCACCACCACTAACACACCACCACCACTAACACACCACCACCACTAACACACCACCACTAACGTACCACCACTAACACACCGCCACTAACGTACCACCACTAACACACCACCACCACTAACACACCACCACCACTAACCCACAGCGGAGATCCACTCCTCCTCAGCTGATCTCCACTCGCGGCGGCTGCTGCTGCTCTCCGCACCTCTCTACCGCCGCCTTTCGCACAAACTACCATAGGCAAGTGGGGGGCGGGGCCAGGAAACCACGCCCTTCATGACGTCACTATCTTTCAACTCCTCCCCCCTCCAGCCCCCTCCCCCATACCCCCTCCCCCGCTGCTACTTCCGCTTCCGCCGGGGCGAGTGGCGCCAACTTCTGAAGCGGTTCGCTGTCTGGGCCTCCTCAGGGTCGACTCAGCCTGAAAGTGAGAACCTCGCGTGGTGTGGACACCTCAGCAGTGGTGGGGGAGAGACAAAGGCGGCCCACAGCCGCAAGCTTCTAAACAGCTATTGGGCTCACGGCATCGGTTCAAGCAGAGCCCGGCTCTGCTGCTGCTGCTGCTGATGAGGCACTGAAAGTGGAAACCGGCCCAGAGTGGCGCTCGAGTTGAGCCATTGCTGCTGATGAGAGGCACTCCCAGACGGCCGTACGGCTGATGGGATGAGTCAAAGAGACTTTGCTTCATCTCTGCACGGAATGATTTATTGTGGAGGCCAATCGCCTGCTGGCGGAATGGGCCTCCACTAGAGGCCGCTAAATAGGGTATTTGGTCTACTCTTCCACGCTGGTCTACACGTGTTGGAGCAAGGTGAGCGTACCCACCCTTTACCCCACCACGTGCGGCAGAGGTGCAGGTTCCATTCCATCGCCCACACACCCACCCCACCCACCCACCAACTCACCAACTCACCACTCTCACCCATCGACTCACCCACACAGTGACACGCGGAGACACACGGAGACACACAGGGACATAGAGCCTTGACACAGTGGTTGTGTCGGCGGTGTCAGAGTAGCAGGATCAATGTGGTGGTTGAGGTTTTAGTTGTGGTTTAGGTGGTTATGTTGGTTATAGTGCTTTTGGTTGTGGTTAAGTGTGGTTGTGTAGGTGGTGGATATTATAGTTGTGGGGGTTATATTTTTCGTGGCAATAGTTGTGTACGTGGTGGTTGCGGTGGTCATGGATATAGTTGTTATAGTTGAGGTTGTGGTGGTTGTAGTTATAGCTATGGTGGTTATGTTATGGTTGTTGTGGTTATGCTTGTGGTTATAATTGTGATTGTTGTTGGTGGTTGTTGTGGTCAAAGTTGTGATGGTTATGTTATGTTTTTGTGGTTATATTTGTGATGAAGGTGGTTATGTTGGCTGCCATGGTTGTTTATGTATGTGTAGGGCTGTTACAGAGGGTCTGTTGTGTAGGGCTGTTTGCATAGGGGCTAACGGAAAACAGACACAGTGGGCGGGGTCTCCGTGAGCACACGGGGTGGTGCCCGCAACGACGTCCGTACTGGACGGCGTGAGGGGGGTTTCGATCCTCTAGGGGGGTATAAAAAGGGTTGAGCCAGAGAGCTCGGGGCTCAGTCTTAGAGTAGTTAAGGGAAGAGAGAAGACCGGCCAGATAGGCCCTGGACTCCCCCTGGGACGCCGCCCTTGTAAGGGCAGTGCAGGCTGGAGCCAGTGGCGTGGTCCCGGAACCAGAGTCAGACCTCTGGGATTCCGGGTACCGTAGCCCGACTAACCAGTGTCGGGCCAGACAGCCTCCCCTAGCCCGTTAGCGGAGGACTCGGCTAGGAAGGCTAGCTAGGGGTGAATTCCCAGTTGTACGGGTGAGGGGGCCGATACATCCCTCCAGTACTGTAAAGACATTGTGTAAATAAATACGTGTGCCTTACCCCGTTGTCCACGAGTCTTCAAGAACACTTCATCTGGCGTCAGAAGAACCAAGAACATGGACACGCGCCGATCAGCTCGAGCCAGGGAACAGCAGACGGAAGACGCCGCCGAAATTGTCGAGCCCGAGATGGCTCAACAAGACGACGTGCAGCCGGGGCCGGACGCGTGCTTACCGGAGCGTCGCCATGAAGAGGAGCAGCGGGGAGACAACCTGAGGCTGGCTCACGAGAGGCTGGCGGAACTGCTCTACGCCGCTGCCGCTACGCTGGAGAACATCACACGGCTGGGGGCTGGTGGTCCACCGCGGGGCGAGGGGAACCGGTGTATGGAGCGCCTTCCCGCCATTTCTGAAGATTCAAATTTTGAATTTCCCGCCATCGACGCAGCGACCGCTAGGGGCGTGGCCAACCTCAACCTGGGGTCCGACATCGGCCGCGCTGGGGCTGCCGCATCAACGACGGAGGAGGGCGCGTCATCAAAGCTGCGACAGGCGATGCCATCTGCCATTCGCGCCGAGACGCAGCCGAGTCGGGGAGGCAGCAGCCCACGGGACTCCACGGCAACCGCTGCACTACACCAAAGGCTGCCCCCGCTTAAGGAATTCGTGGGCGCAGAGGGCGACTGGAGCGGCTTCCGAAGACGCTTCCTCGCCCACCAAGAAATGGCTAAATGGACAGACGAAGAAGCTCTCAGCGCCCTGCCGGCGCTCCTGGACGGCGACGCGCTTGCCGCCCTAACATCGGCACCAAAGGAAAGGCGCTCTACGTTACCGATGGCGCTGCAGCTGCTGGGAGGGGTCTACGGACCATCGGCGGAATGCAGACAGGAGTTCTACGACCGCAAGCGGGGAGAAAAGGAGTCGCCCCTAGCGTACCGAACGAGCCTCCTGGCGATGGCCAAGTCGGCCTTCCCCCGTATGGATGACGACGGCATCGACGCTATGGTAACGGAGAAGATACTCCTCCTGGCCGACGATCTTGACATCGCTGTCGTCGCACAGGAGGACGCGGAAATGACATCGCTCCAGGCGGCGCGGCTCCTCCACGCAAACCTCCTGTCGCTTCGGCGCAAAGCCAGCAGGGCATCGGCGGGGCGTGCGGTGGCTGCAGCCACCCTTCCGACGGAGGAACTCTACGCCGTCGACCACCGACGGCAACAGGCGACGAGTGCACGGCCGGGCCAGGACGGGTCGGGCCGTTCCGACCATTCGTCACCTCCGACGTCGCTCCCGCGGTGTTTTAACTGCGGCGTCCGGGGCCACGTCGCCTCGGGATGCCGCTCTCCTCGTCAGCGCGGGACGACACCTCACCGGGACGACGGGCCTCATCCCAAGCTCCACCATCAAAAACCGGCGAGTCGCGGCACCCCACACGTTTGGCCCACACACACACCCGTCACGCACTCAAACACCGCGACGAGAGGGGGGCCGGTATCACGCACCATCGCACCATCACGCACCACTCCGGGTACCCATATCGAACCCGGCCAGTGGTCCGTGCTGGCCGATCGTGTGGTTGCCGCATCGTCGGGGTCGTCGGCCGTTGTAGGATATATCGACGGGGTGGAAGTGCGCATCCTGGTCGATACGGGGGCATCGGCGACTATTATTTCGGAATTAATTTATAACATTCTCCCTGTCCGGAGTCGTCCCTTGATGCCAGTTAACATACCATTCTATGCGGCTAACGGGGGCTCACTTGGCATCATCGGACAAATTCGTGCCCAAATTTGTATCGGGGAAATAAAATTGTCTGGGCCGATTTTTGTTTCTTCCTCGCTGGCGGTTCCGTGCCTGCTGGGGACGGACTTCCTGGCCAAGATGCCGATTGTAATTTTGATCGACCAGGGGTGCATAGAGCTTCCATCGGGCAGACGCATGGCGTTTCTGCCATCACCGGTTGCGACTCGGACGGCGTTCGCGACGGTGCCGGCGTTCGTGGAGAGAACGGTACGCGTTCCTCCGGGAACGCAAATGTTGGTACCCTTGAAACTTCGGCGGCCCCTCGTTAAGGGTGCTGGGGCACAAGGGGTACTGTTGGGACCGTCTAGGGCCGGGGTTAGTGGACCTGACTTACTACCGGCCCAGACCATAGTGAGAGGGGATGGTGAACCCTTCATCGCGGTCCTAAATGTGGGCTCGCGGACGGTGGTGCTCCCACAGGGGACCGTGCTTGCTCACGCAACGCCGGTGCCGTGTGAGGAGCCCGCCGTAAATTCCGTCAACACTGTCCCTGCGTCGCGACCGCGTTCGGACAGCGATGAAGGGTGGCTCGAGGCGCTTTGTGCGGGATCGACGGACCTGTCCGATTCAGAGCGTCAACAACTTAAAACGCTACTGCGAGAATTTTCCGACGTTTTTAGTCGAAATAAATATGATTTGGGTTGCACTCACTTGCTGCGTCACCATATTGACACGGGTGACAGCGCGCCAATTCGCCAAAATCCGTTTCGGTTGAGTCCCGCCGAAAAGGACCATGTCAAATCGGCTGTTGATGACATGTTAGCCGCGGACATCATTTCTCCTTCCACCAGCCCTTGGGGAGCGCCGATCGTCCTGGTTAAAAAGCAGGACGGTTCGTTGCGGTTTTGCGTTGACTTCCGGCGTCTTAATAAAATTTCGGTTGCCGACGCATACCCGCTCCCTCGGATGGATGAATCGCTTGACGCCTTGGCGGGAGCGCGATTCTTTTCCACACTCGATTTACTTTCGGGATTCTGGCAGCTTCCTCTGGATGATGAGTCAAAGCCTAAAACTGCTTTTCGTACACCGCACGGCTTGTTTCAATTCAACAGGTTGCCGATGGGCTTACACTCAGCCCCGGCAACTTTCCAGCGTTTAATGGGATTGGTTTTGGCTGGACTGCAATGGGAGTCGTGCCTCATTTATTTGGATGACGTTATCGTCTTTGGTAAAACTTTTGATGAGCATCTCCAGAGGTTGCGGGCGGTTTTCCTAAAGATGCGGGCTGCTAATTTGAAATTTAAGCCCCAAAAATGCCATTTGTTGCGTGATTCGGTGCGTTATTTGGGGCACATCGTGGGACGCTCAGGTATTGCTACCGATCCCGCCAAAACGCAGTGTGTCAGCTCCTGGCCGACTCCCACCTCGGTGGGAGAGGTCAGGAGTTTCATTGGGTTCGCGTCGTATTATCGACGGTTTGTTGCTGATTTTGCAACAATTGCTAAACCCCTGCACGCTCTAACATCTAAAGGGGTTCGTTTCCACTGGGGTCAAGAGGAGGAGGCTGCGTTCCTCTCCCTTCGGGACGCCCTGGTGAAAGCCCCTCCCTTGATCTACCCTGACTTTTCGAAACCCTTTTTGCTCGACACCGATGCGAGCAACACGGGTATTGGGGGTGTGCTTTCCCAGGTGGTTGATGGCGTTGAACGGGTGGTCGCGTACGGTAGTCGGGTGTTGTCTCCTGCGGAGCAGAGATATTGTGTTACCCGTAGAGAACTGTTGGCAATTGTTTTTTTCATCCAACAGTACCGCCCATATCTGTACGGTCGGCATTTCACCGTCCGCACAGATCATGCGGCACTACAGTATGCCCTGCGGGTTCAACAACCATCGGGACAGTTGTCTCGATGGTTGGAGGTTCTCCAGGATTTTGATTTTGAGACCACTTACCGTAAGGGCGTTCGCCATACCAACGCGGACGCTCTGTCACGCATGCCAACCACCTCGGAATGTGCATGCCTCCTGGGGTCGGGACGTTGCAGACCTTCATGGGACGCATCGGTCCCGATCCTGGCAGCCACCGACGACGACGAGCCACTGCCTGATAATTCGATCGAACAACAGGGAAGGGATTCCCTGTTGGGGTTGCCCGTCACTGAGTGGGGGCGCCTCCAAATGGAGGATACCTCCCTCCTCGGGTGGCGTCGTCGCGTCGGGGGTGCTGGCCGGGTGAAAGGTGATTCGGGTGCATGGGAAATGGTACAGGGTCTGCTCATGCATTGGGACGCAAAATCACAGCGACATCGGCTGGTCGTCCCTTCGGAGTTGCGAGGCAAAGTGGTGTGGGCCGCGCATGAGCGCCTGTTACATCTGGGGACTCTAAAGACCCTTGCACTGATACAACTAGATTTTTTTTGGCCTGGTATGACAAAGGATGTGGGGGATCTTTTGAGTTCATGCCCGCGGTGTGCGCAACGGAAACCGCCGGCGCGGGAGTCTAACCCGCCTTTACAATCAATCAAGGTGTCCAGAATAAATGAGCTTGTCGCACTGGACATCTTGGGGCCATTTCCCGCCACCCCCAGGGGCAATAGGTATTTGCTGACAGGAGTCGAGTATTTTACGCGCTGGCCCATGGCCTGGCCCCTTGCCAACCAGTCGGCAGCAGCCATCGTGGACGCCTTTGTTCAGGGATACGTCCTGGACAAAGGTGCTCCGGAACGGCTGCTGACCGACCAGGGTAAAAATTTTTCCAGCAAATTACTTAAACAAGTCTGTGACCTCTTAGGCACAAAGAAAATTCGGACCTCCCCGTATCACCCACAGACCGACGGAATGGTCGAGCGCCTGCATCGCACCATTTCGTCAATGATGGCACAGCAGGTCTCAGATTCTCAAACTGATTGGGACCTGCATATTCAGGGGGTCTTGGCGGCATACCGGATGGCACCCCATGCAGCTACGGGGTTTTCCCCCTTTTACCTTATGTACGGTCGCGAACCCGACCCGCCTGTTCGCGCCCAGCTGCAGATCCCCGACCCGCAAGGAAAAACTAAATTGGCTGACCACGTCAAATTTAATCTGGCTAAATTAACAGAGGCGCGGGATGCTGCGAGGTTGAACTTGGACCTCCGTCAAAAGGCGAACGAGCGCCTCAGGTTGGGTCGGGCGCATGTCATACAGTGGAAACCGGGGGACAGGGCATGGTTGCACTGTCCCCAAGTACCCCTGGCTACCTCCCCTAAGCTGGCGCGGCCGTGGCGGGGCCCTGTGGAAGTGGTCGAGGTCTTGCGACCACAGTGCGTGCGCATTCGTTGGGGGAAGCGGCGATGGTTCGTGCACCCCTCTCGGTTGAAACCTTTCGTCGCGGCACACAAACCCACTTCACACATGCGTGGCCAGACGTGTGGGGGGTCGACCGACTCACTAGGTCCGTCTCCACCGCGCTCACCTAATGCCTTGCCGGCCGTGCCACCTCCAGGTGCATCGAGACTGACGGGCTCACGCCCGACCACCCCTTCTGGGGATACCAACAGTCACGAGGCATCAGAGGAGGCCTCGCTCCCGGACGGACGATTACCACCTGACGGTCCGCCACCCGGGGTTTCCCCGTGTGAGGGGCCCGCCGCAAGGACACGCGCAAAAATGCGCAGACTGTTGTGAAACCGCAAGGACACGCGCAAAAAAAAAAATGCGCAGACTGTTGTGAAACCGCAAGATGTGTATATATGTTGTGTTCATTGTGTGTTGTGTGGGGGGGGTGTGTTCCCTGCCCATTGAATTCACATACGTTATGCTCACCTGCTGTTGCGTGTATGGTGGCTTCGCTGCAAATTGTATATAGTTTGTTCTTACGGTATCCGTATTTATTCGGGGGGGGTGCGTCGGATTGTTCCCTTTCGGGGTTGAGGGTTTTGTTGTTGTCATTGTTGTTGTTGTTGTCGTTGTTGCTGTTGTTTCCTTCATGTTAGTGTTAAAAAAAAAAACGTTTTTTTTAAGGCACACGCGGGGGTCCAGGGGTTAAATAACCTTTATTGAAAGTTGTTGCAGCCGGGACGGCTGCGAGCTGTACAGGGGGGGGTGATGTAGGGCTGTTACAGAGGGTCTGTTGTGTAGGGCTGTTTGCATAGGGGCTAACGGAAAACAGACACAGTGGGCGGGGTCTCCGTGAGCACACGGGGTGGTGCCCGCAACGACGTCCGTACTGGACGGCGTGAGGGGGGTTTCGATCCTCTAGGGGGGTATAACAAGGGTTGAGCCAGAGAGCTCGGGGCTCAGTCTTAGAGTAGTTAAGGGAAGAGAGAAGACCGGCCAGATAGGCCCTGGACTCCCCCTGGGACGCCGCCCTTGTAAGGGCAGTGCAGGCTGGAGCCAGTGGCGTGGTCCCGGAACCAGAGTCAGACCTCTGGGATTCCGGGTACCGTAGCCCGACTAACCAGTGTCGGGCCAGACAGCCTCCCCTAGCCCGTTAGCGGAGGACTCGGCTAGGAAGGCTAGCTAGGGGTGAATTCCCAGTTGTACGGGTGAGGGGGCCGATACATCCCTCCAGTACTGTAAAGACATTGTGTAAATAAATACGTGTGCCTTACCCCGTTGTCCACGAGTCTTCAAGAACACTTCATATGTGTAGGGAGCGGTAGAGTCGCGGTCAACACGCCGCGCTACAAACCCGTGGACACAAGTTCGATTCCCGCTCACGGCCAACACCAGTGACGATCATCTGAACCAGTCCAGGGCCTCCCCTACGTCGACTCTGCCTCAAATGAGTACCTGTTGCTGTGTGTAATAAACATCGCCACTCGGGAGACAAAGACGGTCGGGTATGGGGCTTTCCACCCACCCGCTTGTGTGCCACACTGCCGGCCTCCATAGGTGCTCGCTAACAGCACTTGCCCCGACAGTCTGTTAAATTCTGTACGGGAGATTTTTTTATTTTGTCTTTGTAGGTGTTGAACTTCTTTCGCACCGTACGTAGCCACTTGTGCTAACCGGAGGTGTGGTTATAGTTGTAGTGGTTATGTTATGGTTATAGTTGTGATCATATTATGGTTGTGGTTATAGTTGTGTCCGTAGTTTTCGTGCATAGAATTGTGGTTTTATATTATGGCGATAGTTGTGGGTGTGGTTATAATTGTAGTTGATGGTTTTGGTTACAGTTGTGGTTATATCTGTGGTTCTAGTTGTGGATGAATTTGTGGTTCTAGTTGTCGTTATATTTGTGGTTATAGTTGTGATTATGTTCGTGGTTGAATTTGTGGTTCTAGTTGTGGTTTTAGTTATGGTTGTTGGTTGTGGTGGTTCTACTGGCGCAGATGGTGGGATGGAGGACACCTTCTGGGTCCCCTGCCCATGCGGTTCCAACAGCGATGGCTCCAGCCGGCACTGTTGCCCCTGTGCTATGTGAGTCACAAAACATTGCCTTGCAGTCATTTTAGGAGCCCTCGCCTTCTCCAACTTCATTTGCAGCGTACATAGCCAATCGTGCTAACCGGGGGTACATTAAAACCTCGCCACAAAAGCCCTGTTGCTCGTGAGCTTAGCGACTCAAATAAATCAGGTGCTAGGTTTGCGTGATTAATGCTTACAAATCGGGGTCCATAATGATGAATATGGCAGGTCGAGTTCTATCCATTTAAAACCAAACGTGTTTTTTACTAACCAGATTACAGGCGGTGCGTTCGACACCATTTGGAATGCGCTGTTGCGATGTGCTGTTCCTTTGAAACCATTATCAACACTGAGAAACCCACACAGTGATTTCCTTGATTGAAACAATGCAATGTTTGTTATCCAAACCACTATTGGCTCCCATAACACGTTTTTTACACGCAGAATCCAATAGTGGTCACTGTTGGACCAGAACCAGAAACATTACCATCTGCACATGGAGGCATCTTTCAATCATATATTTTTCACAGTTGGGAAAACATGTACGACATTAAGGAGATATTTGCCAGCATATTCTACTTAATCACTGTACGCGATGATGACAAATGTTGCATTTCTCAATCGTCAATAATTGTTGCACCAAGCTCAAAGGAACCCAATCTGGATGTGTCATTACGTTCACTGTATGCACAGGCATTGTCGGAAACTGTTGCCATACTTCAGACAAGACAGCACACATTCAGTTGTCTTTTTAAAACCTGCACCATCTGAAGAACCAAAGTAGGACGGTGCTCTTCTGGAGCAATATTTAAAGGAAGTCGGTTGTTACTGCCGCTAACCCTGAGCCCAAGTTCTTGTGGCCTGGCTTCTGGGTGAGTTTGCAGTCTCCAGCCAGCCAGAGAATCAGCAGCCACAGATTTTCCAATAAAACCTTGTTTCGGTTTGATCCACCGAACAATATCCACTGACCACACCACAAGTAAAGCAATAATGTAACTGAACAAAAATACGAATAAATTAGGACGGTTTATTAAATGCATTGTATCCAAGGAAATATGTACAGCAATAGACAAAATATATACAGAAATAGACTACAAATATTTACACTAATAGACTAAAAATGTGTATCACGGGGGGAGGGTGGGTGGTGTGGTGATAGCAGTCGTGGTTTACACAAATGTACGACCACCACCACTACCACCCCTACTGTGGGGTGGACCGGCCACCGCACAGTAGCACGTGGCGGAGGAGTGAGCGTATTGCTCTCCCCACACGAGCCATGCACCCTCGCTTCTTATTCATTTCCTTCATCTCCTTTTCCTCCTCCAACTTCTCAAACACCTGCACCATCATCTCCTCCACTACCATAATTCCCCCCTTATCCGGCTCCTCCGTCTCCTCCGTCTCCTCCGGCTTATCCTCCTCCAGCTCCTCCTCCGGCTCCTCCTCCGGCTCCTCCTCCTCCTCCGGCTCCTCTTCCACCGTCTCCTCCGTCTCCTCTTCCTCCTCCACGTCCGTCACCTCATTCTCTAACTTCTCAACCTCCTGCACCATCATCTCCTCCACCACCATCTTCTCTTCCTCCACCATATTTCCCCCCTTATCCATCTCCTCCTCTGTCTCCTGATCCTGTTCCTCCGTTTTCTCTTCCTCCTCCACCTCAGTCTTTTGGTCTCCCTCATTTTCCACCACAACCTCTGTTTCCTCTTCAGAGGTCTGGGCAAGTGAGCTGGGCTGCACCGGTTTCACTCTGTGAAGACACACGCACGACACGACTCCACCTTTTGCTATGACAGAGATTGCAGTCACCTCCCCATCTCCCGTTGGTGTGGCAGATTAAACCGAGCTTAATAACAATGAAAAAATTGAGTACGTTTCATGTCAGAGCTGTCATTCTGATGGGACAAGATTATCACGAAGGAATGTACCACTGTGTCTCATACAGTCTGCTGTAGTGTCGCAGTAGCAGGCAGCGTTGCTTTGTAAATACAACTAAGTAATTTGTCATGATTTCTTTTTGTTTTCATGATATATTCTAATTGGGGCAAATATGACCCCTGGCACACAATGGCCTACTCGTTTTGAACGAACTTAGGGGAGATCTTCAACATCCACTGCAAAAGAGAGGGTACATCATGTCTTGACATCCCGTCATGGCAGTAATAACCATCAAGAGTGCTGCCGCTGGGCCGCATCACCCATGCACGATTGTTGTAAAAATATCTGATGGTGATTCGTGTTAGATAAAGCTGCCCATCTTGACTTCGATGGTATCTCAGAGTGCTTTACAACGCAATGAGGCACTTACATATCACATCTCGCACCTCAACGCATTTTACGGTGAATGAAGGGTTAGATGGTGAAGATGTAGCCGCATGGTTATGTGGGCTCACCCACAAACCAATTATGGAAAATAAATCGGTCTACAGATGAATATACACGTGGGGTAGGCTGGAATGCACTTGTGTTCTCCCCCCGTTCTGCATGGGTTTCCTCTGGGTTCAGCAGCTTCTTCCCCCGAAACTGAACCCACAACAACACAACTGGTCTTGGATCAAAATCGACCTCTAAAGCACTCAATTGGGATCACACACAGCAACTTTGTTCCCAACTGCGAACAAAACTGGGCAGGGCCCTCTTGAATATTTTGTCTTGAGACTCAATGATGTTCATTCTGCATAAACAAGCATAATAATAATGATACAAAATAATAAACACATACACAGGACACATGCAGATTTGCTTACCGTGGCTCAGTGGCTCCAGACTTTGCATCGTATTCTCCGGAGCCCTCTTCTCTGGATCTCAGCGCTATCCGGCCCTGCACACTGCGAGCAGCGGGTGGTGGTAGCGGTGGTAATGGTGGTGCTGGTTGTGGCCGTGGCTGCCCCTTGATCATGGACCTCGGCCATGCCCTGAAGCCAGCTGTGTGCGAGCGCCTGAGTGGGAGTCATCCGAAGATTTGGATCCCATCTGTTGAGATACACGCGGGGGCACACGTGGTGAGAGGCACGTTACAAGGATTTACGTTTTTTCCCTTCCACGAGGTCCAGGAATTCTCACCAGCAGCGGGGAGTACTCCACTGCCCAGTAGCCTAAAAATGCACTTAGCCTGCCACTGCCCATCTTTCATGGGCCTCCACAGACACCGATCTTGACACTGCTGGTACAGGTCATCGGCAGGTTCACTCAGTTTCACATCCTCCTGTACCACATCAGTTCCACCTCTTGTGATATGGCTCAGCGGTGACGACGTGACCCAGACGTACCACATTCTCCACATGTAGAGTTTTGTTATTCAAATTTTGGACTTTCGGATCGGACGAAGAGGAAGAAAAAAATGGGGGCCTATGGGTGTCTCTAACGATTACTTGAAGGAGAGTGACTGAAATGAGAATCCTTGTGGGGAGGTGTGGGAGAGGGGAATGGGCAGGCGGGAGGTTGTCTTACTCTATCTACTGTAGGCAAAAATGGACACAGTCCACCAACTCTGGGCCCAGGAGATGATGAATAAGAATGAGAGGGTGGAGCTGGTGATTGATGGAGTGTGATCACCAATAATTTGGAGGAGATTGAGTGATGGGGAATCCTCGTGGGGGGCAGCAGGGGGAAGAGGGAGAGGAGGCAGTTCTTACTGGAGGCAGCGGCTGATAAAGTCCACAAACTCCGTGTCCTGGCTCTTGAGCACAGAGTGTAGTGGGAAGCTCCCCGGCAGGCTGTATGGTTTCTTCCAACCACCTGCAGGGGCCATGCACAGCGGAAGAGAGAGATATACATAGTTACAAACCACATCACCCACCTACCCACTCACCCACCTACCCACCCACTCACCCACCTATCCACCCACCCACTCGCCAACCCACTCACCTAACCATCCCCCCATGGCCTACTCAACAACAATAACTGCCATTTGCCACTAAGTGGCAGTGACATCACCATGGTGCTTGTACCAGGCTATGTACACTTTAAGGCCACCTGAAGTGTCAAAAGCTCACTCGCAGGAGGTCATGGGATAGACTCCGGTACCATGGGTTGACTGATTGAGATGACTGACTGGTAATTAAATTTAAGGTGGAGGGGTTACCAGCCTCTCGCAGCCATTGGCCTCAGTGGTGGCTACAAGCCCCATGAGGGGAATTGCATGTTGAAATTGACCTTCCCTCCCTTGGCATTGCTTACCACAGCGTTACCGACCGGCACCACCTTTGAGGTAGGGTGTTGTTTTGCAAATTAACCCCGCCACCCCCTCACCCCCCCACCCACGCACACGCCTACCCATCCACCTACCCATCCACCTACCAACCCTTCTACTCAGAAAAAAACATCACTCCGTTGGAATTATGCAATAACAGCCCCAAGCCACCCCTTTTAACTTACCAAAGTATATCAATCCGTAAGGAGCGGCATGTATGAAGTTTCTTGGGGGCACACCCAGCCTCTGCACACGGTTCAGACAAAGACAGAGGTCAATCATAAAGCCTCAGTAGACTGTTGGGGCAAGTGCTGTAAGCAAATAGCAGCATGTATTGAAGCTGGAACTGTGGCACACGAGGGCATGGTTGATCACAACGCCCCAGGTACGTCACACACCAAACTAGGTACTTATTTGAAGCGGAGTTGATCTAGGAGAGGCCTCGGGACCAGTTCTGATAATTGAACCTCAGGGCGGTACCCCAGGGTACCATAGTTCCCCGGCTCTCGCATAATGTCCGTGATGCAATCATTTTAGTCTGGTGATGGTCGGCGATGCGGTAATCGATTCATCTCAACGAGCTGTACACAATGCACTCTTAAAAGTTTAATTTTTCGAAAACGGATTTTTTTTATGCTAATATTTGGTGTTTCGACATCGCGGAGTAGCACTGATTTCGCATTCATCTTCTTGTTTCTTTCGGTAAAGTCACGTAGAAGGGAAGTAATAAAATAATAAAAAAATAATAAAAATAAAACATAATAAAACAATTCTCACGACGTTTCGGCTACAACGCAAGCAGCCGTCTTCAGGTGAAGAATGAGACACTACCAAACTAGGAGCTTATATATAAGCTGCATTGGGGGTTGAAGAGCGCCTTAACAAAAAGAATGTGCATGTGAAGAGGGATTTAGCATATTCATGGAAAATGCGTAGGCGTTGGGCGGGGGGGTGTCAAAGTCATTATGCCCATGCATTATGCAGGATCAGCAGCAACCAAGGGGGGTGCAGGGATTAGCAGTAACAAAGGAAAGGAATGTTAATGATATGTAGCTGCAGTTACTCAACAACCACGTAGTTTATACTTTAGTTTTCTACGTGGTTGTTGAGTAACTGCAGCTACATATCATTAACATTCCTTTCCTTTGTTACTGCTAATCCCTGCACCCCCCTTGGTTGCTGCTGATCCTGCATAATGCATGGGCATAATATGACTTTGACACCCCCCCGCCCAACGCCTACGCATTTTCCATGAATATGCTAAATCCCTCTTCACATGCACATTCTTTTTGTTAAGGCGCTCTTCAACCCCCAATGCAGCTTATATATAAGCTCCTAGTTTGGTAGTGTCTCATTCTTCACCTGAAGACGGCTGCTTGCGTTGTAGCCGAAACGTCGTGAGAATTGTTTTATTATGTTTTATTTTTATTATTTTTTTATTATTTTATTACTTCCCTTCTACGTGACTTTACCGAAAGAAACAAGAAGATGAATCCCTGCAGTCACGAAAGCTTTAAATCGAAATTTGATTTCGCATTGATTGGTACCCCAGTCGCGGAGTTAAAAAGTGTCCCAGAAATAAAATATTTAATTGCCTCGGCCATTTTGTATTATTTGGTACCCTGGTGTACCACCATGAGGATCAATTGCTGCCACCGGTGCTGGTGGTGGCAGTGGCCATGAGTGGGAATCAAACTCGGCTCTCTGCCGGGGTTTGTAGCACAGTGCGGTGCGCTAACTACTGCACCACACATTCTATACACATAGGCAAAGACAAATATCCCCCACATAGCTTTAACATACTTTTGGTCACACGCATAGACAAGACAAACACGTGTACACACATGTACAAGACAAAGATCCCCGGTATAACCTAAACAGACTTAGGGCAAGTGATGTTAGCGAGGAGCACATCTGAAGGCTGACACGCCACACGAGGGGGATGGGTGGCCAACACCACTCCTGGCCGCCTTTTTCTCCCTAGTGGTGATGTTTACATTGCACCAGGTACTCATTGGAGTCTGAGTCGACCTAGGGGAGGCCCAGGACCGGTTCAGATAATCGTCACGTGTTGGCTGAGAGCCAGAATAGAACTTGGGTCTCCAGGTTCGTAGCGCACCGTGTTAACCGCTACACTACCGTGTACACAGCCAGAGGTGGGACAAAGTCATTGTTATGCAAGTCACAAGTAAGTCTCAAGTCTTTGCTCTCGAGTCCCGAGTCAAGTCGGGTCAAAGATGAGGCAAGTCCCAAGTCGAGTCAGAAGTCAAAGCCTGCAAGTCTCAAGTCGAGTCCAAAGTCTTACCATTTTAGTTTCGAGTCATTTCAAGTCCTCTTACCACAGAAATAACATTTATACAAATCATGTATGTCTGTAAGATTTGTATTTATTTAAACCTATTTTTATACAATGACATTAATCAAACACAGTAAAAAACAGAAAATTTAATTTTCACAAAAAATGCTCTTATTTCAACAGCATATTGCACTAGAACAATGCACAGCAGCTTCAGTCTTGTATTGCATTGACCTCATATTGCAAAACAGTTTAACTTTCAAATAGACATGGGTTCTTTTAGCCTAAACTTTTTTAAACATGTCATCAATAAAATCCTCACTCCTCAAAATTATCACTTCTGAAAAACTGGACCAACCTGATAATATAATTGGAATGCCTCCATAGACACTGGTGTGTATGAGAGAGAGAGCTGTGTGGACAGGTGATGAGCAGAGAGTGAGTGTGTGTGCGCATGCGTGCTGTGGACAGGTGGAGGGAGGCCCCTACACTGCATTGCATTTGCAAGAGATCAAATTGGCCAAAAGTCTGTCAGTCATTTGTGCACGATGGGGACGCAGAATGATGCCACCATGGCTGAAAACTCGCTCCACTGGAGCACTAGAAGCAGGCACTGCCAAGACTCGGATGGCTACTTGAAAGAGTGAAGGAAGAGTCTTACTGTTCAGTGCCCAGAACAAGAGGGCATTCTGTCCTTCTGCCATGTCAATGTAGTGACTTAGCTGTACTGCTGGTGGGGTCCCAACATCCCTTTTCTGCCTCTTATGGTATGCAGCAAACAGCCCTTCTCCTTCCATGTCCTCTAGTTCTTCTTCAGCAGGCACCGGCACAGGCACAGGTTGCTCCGTCTCTGCAGCATCTTTCAGGATCAATTCTAAAAAAACGTGTCACAACAGCAGAAACAAAAGAGCTCTTATTACCATTACTGATGTTGATGATTGTTTAACACGTAGGCTTTCGCGACCAATGTTATTCATAATCAACGTTTTTGGGTTTAGATCGCGTTTATTTATAAATGTGTCGTAACCCTCCACCACCCGACACGGCCAATCAGTAAAAATGTGTCACGTTGACAAAGACAAATAGTTCACTGCTTTAGCCCACCGGTGTGTTGAAGCCACAACATTTACAATTTGAGTACGACGTTTTGCTGGTAATTGCAACCAGCATCATCGGGCAATTCGCCAGAATGGTAAGGCTCTGCTGTGTCTCCCGTTCTTATATAGAGCAGCAGCAGGGTGACGTCATCATTAACTCATTAACTCATCAGGTGCAAAGATTCAAGGGGGGAGTGATTGTAATTATATACTAGATTAGTAATCAGGCTATTGTTACGATGCGAGTTGTAGATTAGTAATCATTTGGAATGTGTTTTATTGTGATTATGCTACATTAGTAATCAGTTAGTGGTTGTTACCCTTATAAGTAATTGTAATGTATCTTATTTAATAATACGCTTCCAGGCCGCACTAAGCCTGTAGCTGTCTGAGCGATTAAAGTTATTGCTGTTTCTCTCAATTTCAATCGATTCTCTAATTAGTCTTTGCCAGTAGTAACTAGTTTTACACAACACTTCCACGTTGTCAAAATCAATTGAGTGTCCCTGTTGGCATGCATGTTCTGCTACTGCCGACAGTTGTGTTTGTGATCTTATATATAAAAGTCTCCGTGCGCTCGCGCTTGCGGGGGATTTGGCTCTCGGACGGTGGTGTTTAACACTGAAATAATTTGCCAGGCGGCACGCCCTAAGCCCCGTGGTGGGTATAGGCTATTCCGTTTTCCCGTCCGTAAACTTTAAAGTAGTTTAATTAACACATTTGTGCCGTTTCTATTATTCATTATTTACTTATTGCACGACATCGACTGTACCAAGTGACGCCAATTTCGTGGGGGGGGGGGGGGGGGGCGGACCCTGCCAAGTCATGCGCGTTCGCTCGAGCTCACGGGAGACATTTTCTTTTACGCGTTTTACAGTCAACACGTACACACATGACGCTGTGGATATTTCTTCACAGTGTCATGTCCTCTTCGCCCCCCCCCCCCCCCCAACACGATGCGTTCAGTTTATACTACAGACTCCGTACATAATAATATTTTACTGCTTACATAGCATTATTCTTGCACTGGCGGCGGATGTTGGAGAGGGGGTAGCGGCCCAGCCCCTAGCCTGGCAACGTGCCAACTCCGCGCCTCGCAAATGTAGGCCAGGACGGGGGCTACGCATCGCACAAGGCCTCAACACGCCTATGCTAAGTACAAATTTCTTTGCTTCTTACGCTAAAAACTCAAGTCCACTGTTTATTATTGTTAAACACATTAGTTGACAAACATTACAATAATGTTTGTGTGCAGATAAAAACTCGGCTTCATTGTTTACCATTATGAAACAAGTTCACAGATGTTACAATAATTCTGTTTTTGTGAAGATAACTACTCAGGTTCATTGTTTACCATTATGAAACGAGTTGAAATGTTACAATAATTATGTTTGTGTACACAAAACTCTTTTTGGATTTTTGGGTTGCTCAATTTCCCCTTTTTTTGATGCGCTTTTATAACGCTGCCACGATCTACTGCCAGTCTGTGATTTCTGCTTATTTCTTCAATGCATTTATATTGTTTTCATCGCTCACGTCACGCTATTTACTCATACGTAGTACTGCGATACTGATAGCTGTGCCATCATCGGGGATTCCTGTGCCTGTCGATGTGTGTGTGTGTGAGTCCATGTGTGTGTCTTTGAGTCCATATGTGTGTGCGTGTAGAGCCATGCGTGTCTTTCACTCCATGTGGGTGTCTTTTTAGAACGGACAACGTCAAAAGTGTTTATGTGTGTGTGTTAGTCCATGTGTGTGTGTCAGTCGATCTGTGTGCGTGTATGTCGATGTGTATGTCAGTCCATATGTGTGTGTAAGTCTATACATGTGTGTGTCACTCGATGTGTGTGTGTAAGTCAATGCGTCTGTGTGTTAGTCCATATGTGTGTTAATCCATGGCTGTGTATCTAAAGTAGATATCTGTGTGTCACAGTCCATATGTGTATGTGTGTGTAGGGCTATGTGTGTGTCAGTCTATGTATGTGTAAGTTCATGTGTGTGTGTGTCTTAGTCCATTTGTGTGTGTGTGAGTACATATGTGTGTTTACGTCAATGTGTATTTTAGTCCACGTATTGCTGTGTGCGAGTCGGTGTGTGTGTGTGAGTCGCTGTATGTGTG